AAACAACTGGATCGACTGAAATTTCTTGCCAATCTTAGATCTCTCGGCGAAATAGGGGGAAAGAAGGGACGGGGCGATTGTTTTGTTACCTGCAGAGGAGCGACGTGCGAGATCGAGCAACACTTGCGAAGGAAGGTCGGCTGCGGGGTTGAGGGTAGCCGAAGGAAATTTTGGAGCCGAAACGCGGATCGCAGGGATATACCCGCGATCCGCGTGTAACATAAATAAAAAAAGCTGTTCTAAAAAACGCAGGCAATACGTGATTTTCAAACGCTATGGCGACGTTTTAAAAAACGCCGCCGCACATTTAAGCTGTCCCAAACGGGGCCTTAGCCAAGTCAAGTTACAAAATGACGATTTACATAATAGTGAGAAAACATACCAAACGTAATTTTAGCAAACACCATAAAATGGGATGCAAAACGGCCCCAAACACACCCTTAGTCTTGAAAAAAATCAAATGTCGTTGCTATGAACCTTTTTACACAACTTAGCTTTTGTTTCGACACTCTATTCACAATAAGTATAATTTGGTAGCTAAGCTAGAGCAATTTTCTTAGCATGTTGAGCTTTATGTTTAGGTTGAGCAAGTGTAACTTAATAGATTTATTTAGATGGAGTGTATGACTTAATAAACTTATAATAGATGGAGCAATGCAGCTCCATAGGATTATTTAACTATTACTTTTTATCAATTGTGAAAATTTATATATAGAGTTCAACAAATGCCTTGTCATAATTTTTTATAATGACATGATAAGTGGTGGTACATTATTTTCACAATAAAAATTTTGTAGTAGATTTATTGCTCTTTCAAAGGATTTCATCATAATATTGGTGAATTTTTGTTGATAAAGAACTACATTCTTATTGTGATAGATGAATGTGATTGATGGAAATATCAATTGTGTTGGTTTGCTCTCATCAAGACTAACAAATCAATACTAAGATTACACATAATCAACTATATACTATATTAATAATAAGATATATCTTGTTCTCGAAGTTCTTAAATCTTCAACATTATTAAGTCCAAAACATTAGAAGCTTCAAGTAAGTACATTTCATTTGTTAATCATAAACTTCACCACTAAAGAACATTCTTACACAATTCCTATCATTGGTTGTCAATTGTCTTTCCTAGAATCCCATCCAATGATTGGGTGGAATTATCTCATCTTTTTTTTTTATAAGCTAAGGTATTGATACGGTGTATCAATTGTAATTTGTAATAAAAAAGAGAATTAGTATCCCATTTTGTCTTTCTTTTGCCTCTTATTTTTAAAAATCTATTTGGTACAATGACAGAAAAAAAGGAGCAGTTTGTAAACCATTCCTGATATGATTAATTCTCTAATAAATTGTATGAATTTCATTCCATATCTGCATTAAAATTTGAATTTTGATATGATGGTAATTGATTGGTGGATTCGTTAAATATGTGGCCGAGTGAGACGATTGACCAGGTGGCGACCGTGTCTTGTGTTTGGAAAAAATTACAGCATTAAATGAACTCTTATGCGCAGAAGAAAATATATTTCATTTGTTAAAAGCTAAGGATGACACGCAGAAGAAAATATATTTCATTTGTTAAAAGCTAACAGGATGACATTTTTTAATTTGATATAAGAGATTTAGATCATATAAATATATAAAAAATAAATTAACTGTTGATATTAGATATATAAATACATAGGAATCAGATATGCATGCAAATGTCCTATTTAAATTTATCCTAATTAATGTTTATCAAAATATTCTGACTTGATTTTATAACCAAATATAATTGCATGGATTCTTTGGACAAGGCCAGATTGAATTTGTTAAAGCTTGACTCGAATTTCATTTAGGCTAGGTTATATGGGCGAGGCTAACTTTAATTTTAATTAATGTTAATTGAGTTGAATGATGAGCTTTCGAGTCCAATCAGGCCAAGCTCACCTTGAACTCGTGACTCGATAAATTCACCGCTCGAGCTCGTTAACAAGTCGAGCTTGAGTCGAGTTACAAGCTATCATAGATCCCCCAAAAGATGGGAGCTCATTAGCTCATCTTTTTTATTAAATAATTAAATTTATTAATCACTCAATTCATACTGACTGAATGCTCACATTTTCGTTAAAATTTTAAAAATTGATTTTGCCAGAACCGAATCAAATAAATTAAGTTATATGAAACCTATGATTTGCTTTCTTAGCCACTGGACATAGAGAGCACGCCTATGATCAAAACGGGCACATATAAGTGTTCAAAAATAAAATGTTTAGTTAATTTGCTAGTAGGCAAAGAAAGGTATTTACATACGGAGCATACACAATCTTTAACATTACATATTTCACTTTTAAATTTATTTTTTTAGTATCACATTAATAGTATTAGTCGAATCTCGCCGCTCTGACGATCATTGAGTTCGATGAAAGAGAATGGTGTCATGATATTTATATTTACAACAATGTCTTTGATGGCCTGGAAGCCGACTGATGGTGAGCCTGAAATGGATTTCAATTAAGAGAAATTTACATATATCGCGCACCTAATACTTATCTATTTACCTATCTTATCCTTAAACTTTGATTTTTACAAGTTAAACATCTTTTTCTATGTTTGAAAAGATGTATGAAAAAATGGATTACACCTTTTCTATAGATAGGGTGCTCAAATAATGTGTCGTCTCATCTTAACCACGATGAACGATCTGACAATCGAAATTATTCCAAGTTACTACGAGTTTAAGAGGCTTTTCCTTTCACACTTCTCAAACATGCAAAAGTCTAAGAAAAACTCGGTTAGGAAAACGAGAGCCTACGGGTTTACATCACCAACTTCTTGAATGAGATGTTAGAAGTTAGAAAACTAAAATCGAAAATAGCTAGAACAGTGCTGCCAAGATCTGTTTAAATGAACTGACAAATGAGCACGTACTTGCCGAAAAAAACCTCAAGAGAAAGGTAAGCCAAAATGATCCAGCCAGCAGTAACCGGGCAAACAACAAGCAATATGCTTCCAGAATAAATGAACGTAGATAGCTGCGCCACTGTCTGAACTCCCGTTGATGGCTTTCGCGGGCATCCACGTTCGCTATTTCGTACTCTGCGTCCATTATCGGCACACCTTCGCTCTCCTCCGCCGCATCCCTAAATTCCCTTTGTTTCTTTCATCTTTCTCTGCGCCGGGAACTCTGATTCTCCATCCCAGAAACCTAGTTTTAAATCCTTCTTCAGGTCCGTTCCTCTCTGCTCACCCTGGTTCAAATCTAGACGTCTTTGTCATGCGTATGGTTGTTCATGTTCGCAGATAAAACCCTAGTTTTCACGTCGGACGAGCGCTTCGGCCAGTCAGATCCTAGGGGCGGTGAGTCGGAAGCGGATGCGGGCACAATCGCGGCCATTGTAACTCCGGTCGGTGGCCCTCCTGCAGCGGTGGGAATCGTTCGTTTGTCAGGATCGACGGCGGTGGGAGTGGCGGCGCGAGTGTTCCGTCCGGCTGGGAAGCGGACGGAAGGGGATTGCATTTGGAGACCACGAAGCCACTTCGTGGAATACGGTTTTGCTCTTGATAAACAGGGGAATGTCATCGATGAGGTGCATTTTTAGCTTAGAGATGCTTTTTTTATTCCTTATATGTAACTTTTTTTATTTGAAAACTTGATTATGATTTTAAGTTTTGATTATTCATCTTGACCATTTTGGTGAATTCACTCGATGCATACAACGGCTACTTTCCAATAACTGCCAAATGCAAAAAAAAAAAAAAAAAAAAAAAAAATGTTGTTATTTTCGTTCAGATGTTTCTGATATTTTGTTGCAGATGAGATTCCTTCTCATCTTGAGAAGTAAATCTTATGGACAGCTTTGCATGACGCCGTCCTTAAATCCTTATTGTTATCAGAATTTAATGTCCTTTGCGTAGCTCACATTGTTCATACCTAACTATGCATGAGCTTTGTATTGTTTTAACTGATCCATTATAACAATTAAAATTCAATTGGGTTTTTTGGATGAATATAAATGATCATTTTTATTTGAATAAAATCAACTTTAAATGTGATGGCCAAGGTCAAAATTTAAATTTGATTCAGTTTTAAAATTAACTTGTAGCTCTTATGAATGGATGAGGGATACAGAGACCTAAGGCATTCCATGTACATTCAATGCCTTAAACAAATTCGGTCTGCAAGTTGCATGCATATGGCATGAAAGAGGCTGATGGTAGTGTGTATTAAACAATGTTTTATGATCTACTACGGGTGTTTTTAGAGGAAAGAAGAGGTTAGACTAAATTATGTGGATAGTAAAAGATTAAAGATTGATTTTTTTTTTCTTAATTGTGGAGTACCATCTTGATTCAGTTATGCATGGTGGTATCAGAAATATTGTGATGATTTTGTATAAATGTGTGTGGTTCTATATGGATAATTTTTTATATTAGTTAAATCTTGTTTTATTTTTTCTTTTGTTTGGATTTGAGATTTGAGGCTTTCCTTTAGTGGTGAGATCGAATGGATACGGGTTTGGGGAGCAGTGCTTTGTTGTGTCTCCTTTTATTTGCACCTGTATGTGGCTTATTATAGTAGATCAACCTCCCATCTTGTGAATGAATGCTAATGTTTTACTTGAATCATTTAAATTTTGGTATTTGATTTCCTTATTTTTACTCATTGTGCTTTCATTTACAAATTTAAGTACAATAGTCATGAAGTATGGTATCAAGAAATTTGATTGTTTGGAGAGTTCTAGGTTTTGTAGAATAAAGATGCTTGGTGTTCATATTTAGTTTGGGTCTATGAAGCTTCTTATGAGACGTTAGATTACGAGTAAAGAAGATAAAAAGGTCGAGATGGCTGAAAAAGCTTTCTTGGTTATTTAACTAATTTTGGCATGTTCTAAATCGTGATAGAGTTCCCTAGGAGACGCCTAGCCCGCGAAGTCTGCTTGAGGATACCATTACTGGACATCAAGCAACTTTAGCCCAGCACTAGTATTGGTCTTTTGCTATGTGGGAGATTTAGTTTGTTGGTCATTTTCTCTTGAAGATCGATTAGAGGCGCTTCTTGTTGGTCATGGTGGAGCACCTCACTAAGTGGGCTGAGGTCTAAACTTTCATGAAAAAAAATACTGGATGCCGTGGCAAAGTTTCTTCGGCAGATTTTTTAATTTGGTAATAATGGCTCCCAATTTACCAACAGGAAATTGACTGATTTTTGTTGAAGCTATTGCGTGAACTTAAAATTCTCTCATGTTAGTCACTGACTAGAATACCAGTTAAATAGAGGAAACCTTTCAGACCATCATAAATCTTATTAAAAGAAAGCTAACCACCTAGATGGGGACTTTGGCCAAAAGAGTTACTTCCATCCTTTGGGTTTGTCAACTACACCTTATACCATCATTGGAGTGATAGTGCTTGCTTTTGCAGCCAAGGTGGTCACTTTATTTAAGGTTTACAACAGTTCAATAGGATTCATATGAATGACATCAACTCTTTTTAATGAAGAAACTGAAAGTTCTTGTGTATTTTGCATTAGTGTTTATTTATAGTCAAGTTATTTAGATTTGTACTAATCTACAATTTTGATTTATACACAAAGCATAATAGAATTACCATTCATTGATTAAAATTAATCCAATAAATTGCTTGTTAGTTGCCGAAACTTCGGGTAATAAAAGTTTCACCATATACAATTTTAGATGGTTCGAACCTGCAAATTGAGATCCCCAACATGTTGGGATCCACAATTGAGATGAAGTTGATAAGTCCTCTCAAATCTATTGAGCTAGTTACAAGAATCACAATTGATTGCAATTAAATCGCTAATCTCGTATTTTCAAACTTTGATGAGGTGGTGGAAGTTTGTGGAGGAAGAAATTAAAGAGGGCATAAATCTTAAACCTTAAGCTAAACCCCAAATGGATGTCTCTATTTTCGTTCTTTTTGTAACTTTGGACCAGTTTGTCTTATCGTATTCGTATAATTCTCCTTCCGAATAAATCCTTCTTTCGAAGCATAGAGATGATTCAAATAAGAGAGGAACTAGAAAGTAAGAAAATACGATGAAAATAGACAAACAAATTTAAAAAGAATTTGGAGAATTTTCATAAGGTAACCTTTTTGTGATAGCCCAAGAGCGTATGTCCGAACGAAATCAGAATGAAAATGCCTTGGAAACATATTCGCGTAGAAAATCTTATGAAAGTAACCCACAACCATAGAATCAAGTTTTTGCGTTTGTTTTGGGTTCAAGGGTACTCCCAAATGAACATGTTCCTTTAGTTAATTATATCTTAGGTGATGCTTAAGAATACTCTCGATAAAAAGAGTCTTGCTTACGTAATTTATGATATCCGGTTATTTAAGAAACCAAAATAATTTTAATTATCTCAAGTGAGAGAATTCTGATGCTTTTGATGCCTATATAGGGCCATAGGACAGAGGGTGAATCATTGTACCCACTACGGGCGGCGATATGTAGGCATGCAGAACTCACGAGACGACACCAATGATATCTTAAAGGAATCGACAGGGCTCAAAAAAGATATCAACTGAAAGAGGAGGAATCTTTAAGCAGGTAGAGGTAGCCAGGTCAGGATACCATGAATTCATTGTCCCAAAATATGAAGACCCTAAGTCTTCCTGATCGTGAAGGTAGTCGACCCAATCCTACCAGAGATCACTTGTCAGCAATCCATGAATTGCGTCATACAAGGAGACCTCAATAGCCCTAAAGTCAAAAGAAGGAAATTCTAATTGCTATGATTCTGTAAGAGGTAGATTTTGTAGAAAATGAGACTTATGCCCGTCAATTAAATGACGGAGATGTCGCTGGAGTGTAGGAAGAAAGGGTGTCCAACTATAAAGCTAGAACCGCCCCAAAAAACTAGGTCGGGGGAGCTCTAATATCCTAGTCGTACTAGAGAATCTCATATGTAGAAATTTATGCTTGACCAAGTCGATTGAAGGAGCACGAAGGCTTCTACTCGCGACATGCAATATGATGCAGTTATTTGTAATTAAATTAAATGTGGAGGCTCTATTAGGGACAATTTGGATGATAGTCCTGCAATGCAAAACATTTTAAATTCGGCCCAAATGCCATATAGAAAAATAAAAACAAGCTTTTAAATAATTGAAATATTTTAATCTTAATTTTTTATTTATCTTGATTATTTTATTATTAATATTTTTTTGTAGAAAATTTATATTTTATGGTCCTTAATAAGCATAGTTGCATTTTTGTATAAAGTAACCCAGACATACCGCACACAACAAGAAGCAAAAATTCAATACACTGCATAATATAAACAAGTGAAATAAATAAATAAAAGGTCGGGTGTCGTTGGGTCGAGGACATATCTCAGGAAAACAAGAAAATTTGTTGGACTCTGCATATACATGTTTAGTCTTTATTCTATACATGAATATGAATTCGAAATTAAGTTATGGAACACGAGCAGCCTCTCTTAGTTCCTGTCACGTGGTTCGATGCATCATGCGCCTCGAAACCGTTCCCGTACCTTAATTCTGATAAAGACTCGAACCTATGAACTCTAGTCAAATACATGATAAAATGGAAAAAAAGAATCAACGTTCAGAAGAGCTAGCATGTATTATATCATGCACACATGAGTCATGCCTAGCGGGAGGAGAGTTTAGCAGCATCTGCAGAATATGTTAGCTTTTAAATCATTACTTGCTTCTCGCTTTTTTATTTGTGTTTGGGCATGACTCTTTGCACAGAAAACTGCTCATAATATACTATTGCGTAAGTCCACACCCGGTAAACACACAAAAAGTTGTCTGGCTAGGACAACCAAATCAACATAAAATATTTGCTAGGACATCAAAAAGACTACCGAAGCATTATAATCTTAGCCTAACACACCATCTACCGAGTAGTGTTCTAGTCACAACATCTAAGTATGTGCAAAGGTGTAGGAGTAAAGGTTCCCGTATGACTTTGGTGGGGTCGCCGATTTTGACCCCATCCTAAGGATCCGAGGGGTCTAATGTATATCACCCAAGAGGATTTTAAAAGAGTTGGTCTTATATATGGTCTAGTTTCGTTAATTGCGTAGTTTTAAAAATATAACATGCTATTAAATGCGAGTCCGCAGTATGTAAGGTGACATGCGTTAGATTCCTTAGAACCTTAGCAGAGTCATACTTTTCTTGATTCCAATGCAATAACCCACATTGTTCGCTGAGATTTTTTCGACAACAAAACTCGTTATACTATCGCGGCCAACACGGGATCGCTCATCTAGTGAATCTAACATGCTATCAAGACATTAGACAATGCACATGCAAGCATGCAACAAGATTCAACGCATCGTGATCACACTCGATCGAAGTACAAGCGTTCACTACGGGCACTGAAAGACGACTTAAGTATCAAGCAGAATGCAAATAATAAACTTGTGACACAAGCAAAGTGATGCAATCAAGTGTGCACACATTGTGCACTCAATGAGTTCAGTGGCTCTGAGGTGTGACTCAAATTGAACCGCTCATGGCATTCAAGTGTGATGCAATAAGAGATTAGGCGGCATGTTCATCATTTAAAAAATTCACATCCCAGCAAGCT